GTGTTTGGGGGGGGGGGGGTAAGGAGAAGCGCGACCATGTAACGATTGTACCGAGCGCAGGTTTCCTTTTGTTTTACGCTCGTTGCGCAATTTTTAAAACCACTCACCGTACGTGTGGGTACAACATTGCGTGTACGCCCTGACTTTATAATTGGCGCTTATAGGCGTGATCGTGAATGTGCTTTCCTCCTTTCTCCCCCATCCTCTCCCGCCTCGTACCTTTATGGATTTCTTCTGGCGATGGAAATGAGAAATGCAAATACATCGGAAATAACGGTATCTTTGAAGATGTGTCCTACGGTGATTCGCGTCTGCCTTTCTATTTGTATTAAGAGGAGTGAAGAGGACGGGATTCGAGGGGGGGGGGGGGTAACGTTTTTACGGAAAACAAGCGCTTTTTCCGCCCGCGTTTTTCAGCTTTGCGTATAGAGAACGTCGTGAAAAATGCGCCCGCAGAAGGATACTTGAAACTCGATAGGTATACTCGAGGTATTCGAGCTTATCGCAAATATTAGACAAAAGGTTTTGCGAATGGAAAATCGAGGCTTCTACGTTTTTATCGGGGAAACAGTCGGTTATCGCGTCAAATTCATTGGAAAAGTTTCGAGCTTAAAGGGATGAGCTAAAGCCCCTGCCGATCAGCCGCTCTAAATGACCAATGAGCCCTCATGGAATATCTGACAAATCCATAATTCACGGCTTCCGCACCGGCTGGGCTCCACTTTTCTCGCGGCATAAATAATTCAACGGAGAAGATAGAGGAGGCCCAAAGCCCAGCATCCGTGAACTCGTCATTACGACGACTCGGGAAACTCGGCGACCGAGGAGTCTGAAAGAAAGAGAGCTTGATAAGAGAGAGAGAGAGAGAGAGAGAGAGAGAGAGAGATAGAGCGAGTGAGAAAGGGTGGACGGTTGAGATGTAGGGATGTGAGGAGAGAGGGAATAACGCACATGCGCGTAAATCCGCAAAGAGCAAATGTCACACGAGTTCGCCAGGAGTCTTAAGGGATCGTAGGAACAAAAGATCAAAGACCGTAGAAGTGCCCGAATCCCCAGATTGGGATATTTGGAAATCCTGGGCAACGTTTAGGGAAACAGGTCACGGCCACGGGGCACGCCAGTAGCACCAAGCCTCACCGGGCTTTAAAAACTTCAGCCTCACGAGGGATTCCCGGGGGATAATCAGCTCGGTTTTCGTCGCTTTTTATTCGCCGGGGAGTCCGGCGAGTAGTATTACTAACTTCCGTGGAGCGTTACTTTTTCCTCCTCTGCTTTCTTTCTTTTTGTCCGGGCCCTATCTGCTCCTTCCTTCTACGCGCTCGCATTGCAAATAAGCCACGCGCCACCCCCGCTATGTAATCCTCCTTCTCATTCCTTGTGATATTTTACTCTTTAGGCTTCGGTTTTCTTTTTCTCTCCAGTTCGTTTTTGCCCTTTTTTGTTTTATGCTTTTTTGTGTTTTTGCTCGTCTCGCTTCCTCCGCTTTAGTCCTTCCTTTCGCGTATTACCACCGAGTGATGCTGGCCTACTTGGCTACGAGACTCGAATTTTTGTGGGTTATCACACGGCGCAACGTCTTCCGACGGTAAGCACCGTCAATCTTTTATATTCGAGTTGTAATTCACCGTTTCTATTCGTTTCTTTGCTTTCTTACTCCCGACTACTTGTAATTAAGATGATGGCCACATTATACAATTTCCCTTGCCCTACAACCTATAACTATTGTATTCCATTTATTTTTATACCTTCCTAACAAACATATGGACTTGTCAGTTACTTAATATTGTAAAAAAATGGAAAAATATATATAAAAGAAAAAAAAAACAAAAAATAAAATGAACTAAAATAAAATAAAAAACAATAATAATAAATTACATAAGGATTATAAATCAATTTACTGTCCGGTAAGTTATTTGAAAATATCAAATTTTGTGAAATCATCTAGAGGACGAATTTATGGATATAAAATTCCGTCGTCGAACGATTTC